TAGTGAATCATTATATTTCTTTTTTAACTCTTTAATTTCTTCATCAATAGCTTCTCCTTTTTCCTTCAAATCATTAAATTTAAGTGAGTAATTGCATTATGCTAGAGTTACTATAACTAGGGCTGATCTGACATGGAGTTTAAACATATTTCTGAATGTCTCAGTTCCAGCTAGCCAACATGTTCACAGCACTTTTCTTTGTTTAAGTCATCTATAGCTTGCCCTGTCCCAATTACTTTCCAATGGAATTCTCATCCACTGTTTTCGTCCCCACAACCTGTGTTTCCCCACACTTTAAAATTACAAGTCCAAGCTTTTTCGAAAAACACTTCTTCCATTATGTGAAAGTGACTTGTCTTCTATAAAACTTGCTTTTGTAAATGAGAACATCAAAGAATCTACAGGGGAAAAAAAAGCCATTATGCACTGTAACAGGTCAACTTCCTTCTCACTACAGCCTTCTTGTGTACTCTGCCTCACCAGCTCACCCTGTCAACTGCTTGTGCACTTGCTTCAGATCAATCCCTTCATAAAGCCATAATGACATTTGCGGGCAGACATGTGCAGTGTGTCCCAAACTGCAGTGAAATCGACAGCATGCAAATGCCTTGTGCACACAGTGTGGAAACCTGTGTTGCTAGAACAATTGTTTGTTGAACGCATTGCTAGGAATGATAGGAGTAGGGAACGTTTACGTTTGGAGCAAAGCCGTGGGAGGAGGACGAAGGACAGTATGCGCCATAAAAGGAATGACACCCACTCGCCATAACCCTTACCAGAACATACCCCGCCAATTCTGTCCTTGAAGTTTCCGTACCCATGACGCCTCCAGCTTATCCGCAGTCTATAAGCTCCTAATACTAAGCTTGGGTCTCGCCAACAATTCTTGCCAACTCTTCGCGCTCCACCTGTAACAGCCTTTCCCCTACTTTATGACCTTTTCCTTCCGAATAGTGATACCCATGCTTGTCTCCACTTCTGCTTCGCAGCAATCTACTCTTTATCCAATCGTCCCTAATCGTGTCTTGCCCACGCGTACTCTGTTGGTTTTGAGCTGGAGTACTTGTGCTAGACTATAATGAAGTTTTGAGTTGTTCATGTTATGAGAGTAGTCCGGAGCAAAGGTCATAAGCATACCAACCTCGATGATGCCGGTTTTGCTGCTCCCTACGGGCACTGTAACATCAACAATCTTGTATACTCCCTCAGAGCTTGGAGATCGGCCACGAGACATTTTAATATGGGTTATTACGCACAAAAAAAAAAACGAAAACGCCAAGACAATGAAGTCTGAACAGCCGACGGTATACTGAAGAACAGCATGCAGAATATTACAGGCCCTAAGCATATACACTTAAGGATGTTCCCGCAGACTGCCTCCAAACACCTGACATTGGAAGCAATGGCCATACGCCAGTAGGTATACACAACACAGCACTGGACACTGACATCCAGGATATTACAGGCCTTGAACAGGATGTTCCCACAGGCCAGGCCCAAGCACCTGACGCCAGAAGTAATGGCTGTACGCCAGTAGGGCTGTGCGCGACTGACAGCAAGAGAACGAAAACATGTACTTGCCTTAACAATAACAATACCATGAGCCGAGCCAACGAGCAGCTGAAAAAAACGTGCTGAATACGGCGCCACTGATGCATTGTAGAAGTGCGAAAGCGCAACGATAATACACGTACGTGACCTGATAATTCGGATTCGTTCGTGTTTGGCACATCTTCTCGTACCGTGGTGCGCAAAGCGAGGCGAACAGCCGAACAACTAATAACAAATAGCGTCTGTGCTCCAAATAAAAAATACGCGAAATTCTCGTGGGAAAATTTAAACGAATGAGTCACGTGAATATTACATATTGTTTTTATTATTATTATTATTATTATTATAGTTATGTAAGTGATCAAATACACATCAAAAACAATCACGAACTTGCAATTGTAATTGTCTCATATTTTGCAAACAGTCTTTTCAATGCTGGTCAACTACCATGTTATGCAGCAACTTGTTGGTGATTGTTGATATGGGGCAGACTGCAACAAAAATAAAAACCAAAGTGAACATTCTATAAATGAGGGACTGATTGTGATGCGAAACGAAGCAAGGCCGCGACAAAGACTTATGAACTGTTCCTTGAACGTACCGTTTCAACGCGGACTGCAAAATTGATCGGGGTGACTGATGACGTTTTGTTTGTTGATTTTAATGCTCCCTTTATCATACCAAAATGGGATGATTATAAACCATAACAGGAGTAATATACAGTCAAAGCTGGCTATAACGAACTTCGGTTATAACGAAGATCTGTTTATAACGAAGATTTTCTCTAGGCCAATTATAAATAGTCATAATCTTAGCTATAAAATGTGACCTTCGTTATAAGGAATTTCTGGTTATAAAGAATATT